TAGAAATCGGCAGGAGAGATCTTTCATTCCCTTCGGCATTTATTTCTGTTTCTGTTGAAAACATTGGTACCTTTAATAGCCAGTTGCGTATTATATATTCTTTTTTTTTTCTTTGTTCTCGAGCCTCCGTGGCGCAATCGGCTAGCGTGTTCGTGTTAACCGAAGGGTTGGTGATTCGAGCCCACCCGGGGGCGTGTGAGTAATAATCTTTCTTTTGACGCACGCGAAAACATTTTCTTGTGTCAAAATTATTTAAAAAATGTTTGTATTAACTTTCGAGCTTAAACAGAATTGTGTTAGGAAATGGGCAGAAGAGCTCTTTCACTCCCTTCGCCATTTATTTATTTTTCTATTGAAACATTGGTACATTTTAAGCCAGTGCGTATCATATATTATTTTCCTTCGCTTTGTTCTCGAGCCTCCGTGCGCAGTCGGCTAGCGCGTTTTGATCATAACTGAAAGGTTGGTGGTTCCAGCCCACCGGGGGCGTGCGAGTACTAATTTCTCTTTTGAAGCCATCGAAAGTTTTTCTTGGGTTCAAATATAATTAAAGAATCTTTGTACTGACTTTCGAGCTTAAAATGACTTATTTGCAAGAAATCGGCAGGAGAGCTGTTTTATTCCCTTCGCCATTTATTTCTTTATCTTTTGAAAACATTGGTACCGTTTAGAGTCGTTGCGTATTATATATTCTTTTCCTTCGCTTTGTTCTCGAGCCTCCGTGGCGCAATCGGCTAGTGCTTTCGGCTGCTCACCGAAAGGTTCGTGGTTCGAGCCCACCAGGGGGCGTGTGAGTACTAATTTCTCTTTTGAAACATCGAAAGAATTTTCTTGTGTTCAAATATAATTAAAGAAATCTTTGTACTGACTTTCGAGCTTAAATAGACTTATTTGCTAGAAATCGGCAGGAGAGCTCTTTTATTCCCTTCGCCATTTATTTCTTTTACTGTTGAAAACATTGGTACATTTCAGAGCCAGTTGCGTATTATAAATTCTTTTTCTTTGCTTTGTTCTAAAGCCTCCGTGGCGCAATCGGCTAGCACGTACGGCTGTTAACCGAAAGGTTGGTGGTTCGATCCCACCCGGGATTGTGTGAGTACTAATTTCTCTTTTGAACCATCAAAAGTATTTTCTTGTGTTCAAATATAATTAAAGAAATGTTTAATCTGACTTTCGAGCTTAAATAGAATTATGTGTTAGAAATCGGCAGGAGAGCTCGTTTACTCCATACGTCATTTATTTCTTTTACTGTTGAAAACATTGGTACCTTTTAGAGCCAGTTGCGTATTATGTATTCTTTTTCTTTGCTTTGTTCTCGAGCCTCCGTGGCGCAATCGGCTAGCGCGTTCGGCTGTTAACCGAAAGGTTGGTGGTTCGAGCCCACCCGGGGGCGTGTGAATACTAATCTCTCTTTTTAAGCACCAAATGCAATTTTTTGTGTCAAAATATATTTAAAAAAATGTTTGTACTCCTTTTCGAAATTAAATAGAATTATGTGTTAGAAATGGGCAGGAGAGCTCTTTCATTCCTTTCGCCATTTATTTCTTTATCTGTTGAAAACATTGGTACCTTTTAGAGCCAGTTGCGTATTATATATTCTTTTCCTTTGCTTTGTTCTCGAGCCTCCGTGGCGCAATCGGCTAGCGCGTTCGGCTGTTAACCGAAAGGTTGGTGGTTCGAGCCCACCAGGAGGCGTATGAGTACTATTTTCTCTTTTGAACCATTGAAAGTATTTTCTTGAGAGCAAATATAATTAAAGAAATCTTTGTAGTAACTAACGAGCTTAAATAGACTTATTTGTTAGAAATCGGCAGGAGAGATCTTTCATTCCCTTCGGCATTTATTTCTGTTTCTGTTGAAAACATTGGTACCTTTAATAGCCAGTTGCGTATTATATATTCTTTTTTTTTTGCTTTGTTCTCGAGCCTCCGTGGCGCAATCGGCTAGCGTGTTCGGCTGTTAACCGAAGGGTTGGTGGTTCGAGCCCACCCGGGGGCGTGTGAGTAATAATCTTTCTTTTGACGCACCGAAAACATTTTCTTGTGTCAAAATATATTTTAAAAAATGTTTGTATTAACTTTCGAGCTTAAACAGAATTGTGTTAGGAATGGGCAGAAGAGCTCTTTCACTCCCTTCGCCATTTATTTATTTTTCTATTGAAAGCATTGGTACATTTTAAAGCCAGCTGCGTATCATATATTATTTTCCTTCGCTTTGTTCTCGAGCCTCCGTGGCGCAGTCGGCTAGCGCGTTTTGATGTTAACTGAAAGGTTGGTGGTTCCAGCCCACACGGGGGCGTGCGAGTACTAATTTCTCTTTTGAACCATCGAAAGTATTTTCTTGGGTTCAAATATAATTAAAGAAATCTTTGTACTGACTTTCGAGCTTAAAATGACTTATTTGCAAGAAATCGGCAGGAGAGCTGTTTTATTCCCTTCGCCATTTATTTCTTTATCTTTTGAAAACATTGGTACCGTTTAGAGTCAGTTGCGTATTATATATTCTTTCCCTTCGCTTTGTTCTCGAGCCTCCGTGGCGCAATCGGCTAGTGCTTTTCGGCTGCTCACCGAAAGGTTCGTGGTTCGAGCCCACCAGGGGGCGTGTGAGTACTAATTTCTCTTTTGAAACATCGAAAGAATTTTCTTGTGTTCAAATATAATTAAAGAAATCTTGTACTGACTTCGAGCTTAAATAGACTTATTTGCTAGAAATCGGCAGGAGAGCTCTTTATTCCCTTCGCCATTTATTCTTTTACTGTTGAAACATTGTACATTTCAGAGCCAGTTGCGTATTATAATTCTTTTCCTTTGATTTGTTCTCTACCTCCGTGGCGCAATCGACTAGCGCGTTCGGCTGTTAACCGAAAGGTTGGTGTTCGAGCCACCAGGAGGCGTATGATACTATTTCTCTTTTGAACCATTGAAAGTATTTCTGGAGCAAATATAATTAAAGAAATCTTGTAGTACTAACGAGCTTAAATAGACTTATTGTTAGAATCGGCAGAGAGATCTTTCATTCCTTCGGCATTTATTTCTGTTTCTGTTGAAAACATTGGTACCTTTAATAGCCAGTTGCGATTATATATTCTTTTTTTTGCTTTGTTCTCGAGCCTCCGTGCGCAATCGGCTAGCGTGTTCGGCTGTTAACCGAAGGGTTGGTGATTCGAGCCCACCGGGGGCGTGTGATAATAATCTTTCTTTTGACGCACCGAAAACATTTCTTGTGTCAAATATATTTTAAAAAATGTTTGTATTAACTTTGAGCTTAAACAGAATTGTGTTAGAATGGCAGAAGAGCTCTTTCACTCCCTCGCCATTTATTTATTTTCTATTGAAAGCATTGGTACATTTTAAAGCCAGCTGCGTATCATATATTATTTTCCTTCTCTTTGTTCTCGAGCCTCCGTGGCGCAAGTCGCTAGCGCGTTTTGATTAAACTGAAAGGTTGGTGGTTCCAGCCCACACGGGGCGTGCGATACTAATCTTCTTTTGAACCATCGAAATATTTTCTTGGTTCAAATATAATTAAAGAAATCTTTTACTGACTTTCGAGCTTAAATAGACTTATTTGCTAGAAATCGGCAGGAGAGCTCTTTATTCCTTCGCCATTATTTCTTTACTGTTGAAAACATTGCACTTTAGAGCCAGTTGCGTATTATAATTCTTTTCTTGCTTTGTTCTACAAGCCTCCGTGCGCAATCGGCTAGCCGTTCGGCTGTTAACGAAAGGTTGGTGGTTCGAGCGCACCGGGGTGTGAGTATAATTTCTCTTTTGAACCATCGAAAGAATTTTCTTGTGTTCAATATAATTAAAGAAATCTTTGTAATCTGACTTTCGAGATTAAAATGACTTATTTGTAGAAATCGGCAGGAGAGCTCTTTACACTTCGCATTTATTTCTTTTACTGTTGAAAACATTGGTACCTTTTAGAGCCAGTTGCGTATTATGTATTCTTTTTCTTTGCTTTGTTCTCGAGCCTCCGTGGCGCAATCGGCTAGCGCGTTCGGCTGTTAACCGAAAGGTTGGTGGTTCGAGCCCACCGGGGGCGTGTGAATACTAATCTCTCTTTTTAAGCACCAAATGCAATTTTTTGTGTCAAAATATATTTAAAAAAATGTTTGTACTCCTTTCGAATTAAATAGAATTATGTGTTAGAAATGGCAGGAGCTCTTTCATTCCTTCGCCATTTATTTCTTTTATCTGTTGAAAACATTGGTACCTTTTAGAGCCAGTTGCGTATTATATATTCTTTTCCTTTGCTTTGTTCTCGAGCCTCCGTGGCGCAATCGGCTAGCGCGTTCGGCTGTTAACCGAAAGGTTGGTGGTTCGAGCCCACCAGGAGGCGTATGAGTACTATTTTCTCTTTTGAACCATGAAAGTATTTTCTTGAGAGCAAATATAATTAAAGAAATCTTTGTAGTAACTAAGAGCTTAAATAGACTTATTTGTTAGAAATCGGCAGGAGAGATCTTTCATTCCCTTCGCCATTTATTTCTTTTCTGTTGAAAACATTGGTACCTTTAATAGCCAGTTGCGTATTATATATTCTTTTTTTTTGCTTTGTTCTCGAGCCTCCGTGGCGCAATCGGCTAGCGTGTTCGGCTGTTAACCGAAGGTTGGTGGTTCGAGCCCACC